CCTGCAGGCATTCAAGGCCAGGCTGGATGTGGCTCTGGGCAGCCTGGGCTGCCGGCTGGTGACTCTGCACAGAGCAGGGGGTTGGAACTGGATGATGGTTGTGGCCCTTTGCAAGCCAGGCCATTCTATGATTCTGTGATTCTATAACAAGAGAGCTTGGATGCATGCAGGCTCTGTGCCAACTGTCCATTCCTCTTTGGATAAAGGGTGCATTTTCACTATTAATTCAAGCTTTCCAGCTGTTGTTTTTTACACTTCTCAGGTATTGACAGTACTTTGGTTATTCGCAGTACATTTTCTTCTGCTTGGCAAACCAGGAGCAACACGTGTGAATTCAGCTCTGTGCTGCTTGGAAAGCAGTTCCTGGCTGCGTGCAGAGCTCTGCGTCATGGGGTATCTTGGAAAGGGGAGATGAGAGCAGGACGAGGGGAAATGGTTTGGAGTTGAAGGAGGGCAGATGGAGGTTGGATGTGAGGGGGAAGTTCTTTGCTATGGGAGTGGTGAGGTGCTGGAACAGCTGCCCAGAGAGGCTGTGATGCCCCGTCCATGGCTGGAGGTGTTGGAGGCCAGGTTGGATGGGGCCCTGGGCAGCCTGGGCTGCTGTGAAATGGGGAGGTTGGTGGCCCTGCATGCAGCAGGAGGGTTGGAGCTTCGTGATCCTTGAGCTCCCTTCCAACCTGGGCCGTTCTGTGACTTTGTGGTATCTGAAGGAAGGGCTGCCATTCGATCCCTGCTTTGATATCCGCTGTCCATGCGCACAAACTGAGGACGTGCCCCTGAATATTTTGGCTTAGATGTTGCCTAAACACGGAGCTTTGGCGAGAAATTTCCTCAGCTCATCTTGAAACAAAAACACGGAGGACATGAAATGCGCTTCTGGCTCCGCTGCGCCCTTTGCGAAGCCACAAAGCAGCGTTTGCCCAGCAAAACTGAGCAGCCTCGCAGCGCTGCGCCGCTCTCAGCAAAGCTGCTGTGAATTACAGGCCCCGTCATTTCTGGCCTTTTAAGCTCCCTGATGCTGCTGGACCATATTTGGGCAATGAAGGTTGCGCAGAACTTGAGAACTCTGCAGATCTGATCCTCCCTGCAGCTCCGGCCTCGTGTTGTGCCTTGCAGGGCTGGTGTGTGGTTTGTGCGCGGCTCCTAAGCAACCCGAGTAAATAGAACGTTTCGCAACCTTCACGCTTTCATCTATAATTATCTTTTGCATCAGAGCTCTCAGGAGTGCCGGCCTACCAGATTTTGCAGGATATTTTGCATTCTGCTTCTATTTGTCTGCCATTTTTTTCTTGCACTGCCAGTCAGGGTAATATTCCCCAGACAAAAGCAGAAGCGTAAACACCCCGCAGACCGGAGGAACGTGCAAGGTGCTGTCAGCCAAGAAATGTTGGTGCACGGCTCTCAGCGCTGATTGCTGTTTATGTTCTGTGTGCTTCTGAGCTCTGCTATTTGCACAGGGCCTTACAGCGTGCCCCCAGAAGGCAGCCAGATCTCATTGGCAGTGTTTGGAAAGCCTAACACCCAAAATTACGCCTAGGGGATTCGGAGGGGCTTCAAAAGACTTGAAAGGTGGGCCTGGGTGAATCTGATGAGGCTCAGCACAGCAAAGTGTGAGGTTTTGCAATTGGGTTGAAGGAATCCCAGGCACAGACTGGGAGGAGCATCCTTGAGAGCAGCCCTGCAGGGGAGGACCTGGGGGTCCTGGTGGGTGGAAAACTGAACGTGAGCCAGCAGTGTGCTCTTACAGCTCAGAAAGCAAATGGCAACCTGGGCTCCATCAGCAGAGGGGTGGCAGCAGGGACAGGAGGGCATTGTCCCTCTCTGCTCTGCCCTCTGAGGCCCCATGTGCAGCACTGCGTCCAGGTGTGGGGCCTCCAGTGCAAGAAAGACAGGGAGCTGTTGGAGAGGGGCCAGAGGAGCCACAGAGATGAGCAGAGGGCTGCAGCACGTCCTGCAAAGACAGGCTGAGGGAGCTGGGCTTGTTGAGCATGGAGCAGAGGAGGCTGTGGGGTGACCTCAGTGCAGCCTGCAGGACCTGAAGGGAGCCTATAAAGAGGACTTGGGAGTCAAGTCTTGGAAAGGGGAGATGAGAGCAGGACGAGGGGAAATGGTTTGGAGTTGAGGGAGGGAAGGTTGAGGTTGGATGTGAGGGGGAAGTTCTTTGCTATGGGAGTGGTGAGGTGCTGGAAGAGCTGCCCAGAGAGGCTGTGATGCCCCGTCCATGGCTGGAGGTGTTGGAGGCCAGGTTGGATGGGGCCCTGGGCAGCCTGGGCTGCTGTGAAATGGGGAGGTTGGTGGCCCTGCATGCAGCAGGAGGGTTGGATCTTCGTGACCCTTGAGCTCCCTTCCAACCAAACCATCCTGTGGTTCTGTGGTATCTAAGGGAAGGGCTGCTGTTTGATCCCTGCTTTGATATCCGCTGCCCATGTGCACAAAGTGAGGATGTGCCCCTGAGTATTTTGGCTTTGATGTTGCCTAAACACAGAGCTTTTGTAAGAAATTTCCTCAGCTCATCTTGAAACAAAAGCATGGAGGACTTGAAATGCGCTTCTGACTCCGCGGGTCCATTCTGTGATTCTACAACTCTTGAAATCACTACTGAGCCCAGGTAAACAGCAAAGTGTTTCTTATCAGTACTGAGCCCAGATACAACAGCAAACTGCTTCTTATTCACAGGTGTTTAAAAGCAGTCTCCTTTCTTTTTTTCCTTTAGTCTCCTTCTCTGGAGATGTTCAAGACCTGCCTGGATGCCGACCTGTGTGACCTGGTGTAGGGAACCTGCTTGGGCAGGGGGTTGGCCTGATGACCTCTGGAGGTCTCTTCCAACCCCTACTATTCTGTGATTCTGTGAAAGTCAATTCAAACATTTGTAACTGGGTGAAATTACTCATCCCCTCACCTCCCCCCCTCAGACTGAGATCCCCTCCAGACCCTCCTCTGCCCCCCAATCCCCTCACCATCCCTTCAGCCTCCCCCCCAGCCCCCCCTCAGGCTGTGAACCCCCTCCTCATGATGACACCCTCCAAAATCCCCTCGCACCCCCTCACCCCCCCTCAAATCGCTCCCTCCATCCCCTCAAGCACCCCTAGAGACATTCGCCCTCCTTCAACCCCTCAACATCCCCATATCCTCCTCCATCTGTGATCCCTCCCTACCCCCAACAGGCCCCTCACAACCCCCCAAAATCTCCACGTGCTGTGCCCCCCCCCAAATCCCCTTGCAACCCCCCCAAAAATCTCCTCATGACCCCTCATGCTGTGCCCCCCCCAAAATCCCCTCACACCCCCCATACCCTCACATCCCCCCAGGCTGTACCCCCCCCCTCCCATTCCTATCTCCCCCCTCATGCTGTGCCCCCCCAAATCCCCTCACAATCCCCCAAAATCTCACGACTCCCTCATGCCGTGCCTCCCTCCACCCTCAAATCCCCTCAACCCCCCATAACCTCCCCTCCAACCAGGCTGTAACCCCCTCCCCCATTCCTTCCCCCCCCCCCCCCCCCCCTCAGTCTGTACCCCCTGAATCCCATCACCCCCTCCTCAAGTTGGGTCCCTTTTCCCCCAAATCCCCTCACACCCCTTCAGGCTGTACTCCCCCCATCCCTCACACCTTGATCCCCCCCCCCCCCCAAATCCCCTCACAACCCCCCCAAAATCTCCTCATGACCCTCTCATGCTGTGCCCTCCCAAATCCCCTCAGCCCCCCTATAACATCACTCCACCCATGCTGTGCCCCCCCCAAATCCCCTCACACCCCAAATCCCCTCACACCCCTCCATATCTTCACCCCCTCGCCCATGCTGTGCCCCCCCCAACCCAATTACATCCCCCATCTCCTCACCCCCCCCCCCCCAGGTTGCACTCTCCCAAATCCCTTCACAACCCCCCAAAATCTCCTCATGCTGTGTCCCCCCCCAATCCCCTCTTACCCCCCCATCTCTTCACACCCCCTTCAATCTGTGCCCCCCAGATCCCCTCACAACCCCCAAAATCTCCTTACCCCTCCATGTTGTGCCACCCCCAAATCCCCTCAGACCCCCCATATCACCCCCCCCATGCTGAATCCCCCCCAAATCCCCTCAGAATCCCCAAAATCTCATGATCCCTTCATGCTGTGCCCCCCAAATCCCCTCAGCCCCCCATAACATCACCCCCCTTCTCTGCCCCCTCAATCCCCTCACAGACCCCCAATCCCTCACCCTCCCCTCATGCTGTGCCCCCCCCCAAATCCCCTCACACCCCAAATCCTTCCCATAACATCACCCCCCCTCATGCTGTGCCCCCAAATCCCCTCACAACCCCCAAAATCTCCTCATGACCCCCTCATGCTGTGTCCCCCCCCAAATCCCTTCAGCCCCCCATAACATCACCCCATAACATCACATCTCCTCACACCCCCCCTCATTCTGTACCCCCCCAAATCCCCTCACAAACCCCAAGATCTCCTCACACCCCCCCTCATGCTGTGCTCCCCCAAATCCCCTCAGCTCCCCCATAACGTCACATTCCTTCATGCTGTGCCCCCCCAAATCCCCTCAGCCCCCCATAACATCACCCCCCTTCACTCCCCCCTCAATCCCCTCACAGACCCCCAATCCCTCACCCTCCCCTCATGCTGTGCCCCCCCCCCAAATCCCCTCAGCCCCCAAATCCCCTCACCCCCCAAATCCCCGCCATAACATCACCCCCTCTCATGCTGTGCCCCCAAATCCCCTCACAACCCCCCAAAACTCCTCACGCCCCCCTTACGCTCTGCCCTCCAAATCCCCTCACGGCCCCCCCCTCCATCTCCCCTCCATCTCCCCTCCATCTCCCCTCCATCTCCCCTCCATCTCCCCTCCATCTCCCCTCCATCTCCCCTCCATCTCCCCTCCATCTCCCCTCCATCTCCCCTCCCCTTTTCCCGCCCTCTCCCCGCCCCCTCCCTCCCCTCCCCCGACCCCGCCTCCCTCCCTCTCTCCCCCCCCCCCCCCCCCCCCCCCCCCCCCCCACTCTGCTCAGTCCAGCCCCGGGGCCGCCGCCATTTTGGAGCCAGCCTTGCTCCCGCCGCCCGCTGTCAGCGCAGCCCCGGCCGCGCCGCCCCTCCTCGATCCGCGGCCCTATGCCCCGCGGGGAACCCCGCAGCCAGGCAGCGCCTCACCGCGGGCCGGAGGGCAGCGTCCGGACCCTTAATCGACAACAGGTAAAGAACCTTACAGACGAGCTGTCAACGGGCCGCGGCCTGCGCGCTCCTCCGCCCTCAGGGTTCCGTCAGCGCCCGCTTCGGCCCCGCTCTGATTTCTGCCATCGCGGAGGTTCGGCGGGCGCCGATCGCGGAGCTGCGGGGCCTGGCGGGGCTGTGGCGGCACGCAGCCGTAGGAGGAAGCGGGACCGTCTGTGTGGTGACCGAAAGGAGAAGGTTTTTGCTGTGCTGCTTTTGCTCTTTAATACGGCTCCGTTTGGATCCCGGCTTGGGAGAATGGAAAAAAAAAAAAGGGAGGTTCTGTCGTTGTTTCGGTGTTTGCCTGCCTAAATGCTGCTGTGCTGGATGGAATAATAACGAGATGAAGCCTTGGGAGGGTGGCAGAGCGACTTCTAGAGCGACCCATAGATATCGTGGTAAGCAGCGTGAGATTTTGGAGCAGGGCGATCCCGTGGCAGCGCTGGAGGTGACAGAGGGTTGGGTGAGGAGGAAGCAGTTCGGGGTTGGGAACGCTTTGCTTGTCATGCGTTTGCTTTGAGCGCTTTTTGCAGGTTAGCCAGCCTATATGGGGGACGTAAGGTGAGATCCTGCGTTGGAATCGTAGGACAGTGGGGTGGGATGGGTGGAACAGTGGGGTGGGATGGGTGGAACCGGAGCGATGTTTGGCCCTGCGAGGAGAAAGCAGCAGATGGGAGCGCGGCGCTCAGCAGAGCTGTGGTTGTGCTGTGGGAGGGCTGGGCTGTATTTCTGAGTTCATAGTTCACACAGAATCACACAGAATCACAGGTTTGGAAACGACCTGCAAGATCAGGAGCCGTTGGAGATATAGAAGCGAATCACGGAGGGTGCTTGCTCACGCTTTTTGTTCCCGTTGCTGTCCGTCTGCAGACAGAGGGCTTTGAAATTCATGCTAGGGAGCTGCAGGTTGCTGCTGCCGGTGTGCCTGATCTGCTGAGTGAATATCTGAAGCTGGACTCTGTGCTGGGATGGATGGGGACCAACTGGGTTGGATGGATGGATGGACAGACGGATAGCTGGAATCCCTGCCAGGTAGCACAGGGAGGTGGGAGCACCTCCCTACCCCTCTCCTCATAAGGGAGACATCCCAACTGCAGCTGATGATGTTTTCCTGTGCCCCGTGGAAGAAACCCTTCCATGTTTGCTCCTGGCGTTTATTGGCTGTCAGCTAAAGTGTCAAAGAGAAACCAAAACTGTGTGCCTCTCCTGCGAGGCAGCAGGGTGTGAGTGCTGCAAGATTCCAGCACGGAAAGGCATTCGGTTTAAAGGGGAGATGGGCTTGTTCATTTTCTGCTTCTGGTAACGAGGCCTGTGATGTGTAAGTGTGAAAGCTGTGGATTACATGTTGCAGAAAATGGATTTGGGTATGTAATCAAGAAGTGTTTTCTTAACACGCTGGCTTGGAGTCGGAGATGCTGGTGCCCAAAGGGCAATAGCTGGGAGCAGCACCGTGGAAATGGGTGAATGGGAACGCTGGCAGATAACAGAGTGTGTTGGTGTGGGAAATGCTCCCGAGACAACAGCAGAGTTGACCAGAAGGACGGGGAAACGATGGGCTGGGTGAGCACAGGGTGAAGCAGAGCTGAGCAGCTCGTGGCACTCGTGGGAGCTTCAGCAGGAGCGGAGCTCAGGGGAGCACCGTTCGCTTGGCTGGATGGATGGGAGGGGATTGGAAACCTCATTGAGGAGAGCGGGGTTGGTAGACGGCGTTCGGAGCGATGTCAGTGCTGTGTGTGTGCAGGCAGACGCCCGGCTGTGGTTTTGCTCTCAGCCCTGCCGATGGAGCAGCGCTTTCTGTCCTTGGTGACGTTGTGTAGATTTGGGAATCCATGGCGCTGCTTATTGCCTCCTCTCCGTGGGAAACCCGTGGATGTGAGTGGGTTTATGGAAGGATCAGGGAAAGAACGGGGCTTCTGTGTGACCAACGAGGAGTTTGGAGTGTCTTCTGCGACTCGGTGCTGTTAGAAACAAGCGTAGATCGTTCCTTGTCCGCGCTGTTTCTTTAATTGTGCTTTCCTCCTTCCTGCCCTCGGTCCTCCCACTCCCCCCCCACTCCTTGTTTTGATCTGCTGAGGCAGCCAGCAGTGCAGCAGCCAATATTGACATTATTCCTACATGCCTTGGCTATTTTTACCTGTGTGTTAACTCCGGCCTGCGGGACGTTAGGGCAGATACATAATGGGGAAACCGAGAGCTTCATCACCGAGGTGAAAATTACCAGATTAGCAGAGCTTGGATTTGCTCAGAATCTGGATGCCAGACACCATCACGTGTGGAGTTCAGGTTTGCAAGTTGGAAGCGTGACATCACTGACTGAAGCACTCTAGAAGGGGAAACAGGAAGGCGTGAGAAAATATCGTGAAAGGGCAAAGCTCAAGCAGTTCTTTAAGCCACAGCTCCGGACTCTTCACTTACCTGGGCAAAGGAAGAAACCTCCACCAGCTTCAGCTCTGCTTGGTGGGCTGCGAGGTGATCTGTGCTGCTGGCAGAACTCGCCGAGCATCCCAGCTGCTTGCACTGAAGGTTTTTGTTCTGCTGGCAAATGACTGCTGCTCTCAGTTGTGCCCGTGGAAGCCTTTTCTTTTCTCCTTCTCCCCTCTCACTTCTGCAGTTTGCTGCTTTCCAGAGCATCTATGAAATCACTTTGGTTGTGATTTTTAGTGGGCAGAATCGGCAGTGGTGGCAGCGAGGCAGAGGGAGCAGCACAATGCTGCACAGCACTGCTGGAGAAAGGGGGAAAGGAGCACAGCGCTTCAGCCTCAGCCTTCGTGTTGTCTTCTTTGGTTTTGTTAACAGAGAGCCCGTCTGCTGGATGCATCCTGAGGTTTTCTGATAAATGCCTTCAGTTCTCATCTGTGTCATTTGTTTTTTCCTTCCTTTTCATTCCGGATCACCTGGCAGAACCTGTGGGTTGCTTCAGTTTCATCATCCCACATGGGCTGGATGAGGAAAGGTTGTTCTTCCATGGTTGCTTACTGATGGGTTTTATTCCTTCAGCAGATCCTTGGGTTCCCCACGTGATGTCATTCTTCTCTCTTGAAGCAGTTCTTACAGGGCAGACTGAAGCTGTAAGCTCTCAGGTTGGGAACTGGACGAGGGGAAATGGCTTTAAATGAAAAGAGGGGAGGTTGGGGTCGAGTGGGACGGGAATTCCTTCACCCTGAGGTGGAGCTGAGGGTTCCCCATCCCTGGAGGTGCTCACAGAACGCGAGGATGTGTGGCCACACAGGAGAGGAGGAAGAGAGCAGCTCTCTGTGTCTGCATTTAAATAAGGTGTGGTTCTCATTTGATTACTCTTGAGTTTGCAGTGCAGTGAGTTCTTGGTTCATCCCGTCCTGTGTCACAAGGCTGCTGCTCTGCTGCCTGCTTTGGCTCTGCTCTCCCAGTGTGGAGGGGTGGCAGTGCTAACAGGTCTGCGTGGCATTAAATCACACCCAGCACAGCAGACGGTTCACAGAGCACTGACACTCAGCTCCTGAGCTGCACAGCGCCCAGCTGGTGGTCAGCAGGTGCTCAGCCAGCACTGCTTCACAAACTGGGGAGCTCTAAATGATGGCTTTCAGGTCAGCTCCACTGCACGTTATCCTCCTGATGTGATGTGCCTGCCAGGCAGCCCTACACACTGAGAGGAGCATCCTTGAGAGCAGCCCTGCAGGGGAGGACCTGGGGGTCCTGGTGGGTGGAAAACTGAACGTGAGCCAGCAGTGTGCTCTTACAGCTCAGAAAGCAAATGGCAACCTGGGCTCCATCAGCAGAGGGGTGGCAGCAGGGACAGGAGGGGATTGTCCCTCTCTGCTCTGCCCTCTGAGGCCCCATGTGCAGCACTGCGTCCAGGTGTGGGGCCTCCAGTGCAAGAAAGACAGGGAGCTGTTGGAGAGGGGCCAGAGGAGCCACAGAGATGAGCAGAGGGCTGCAGCACGTCCTGCAAAGACAGGCTGAGGGAGCTGGGCTTGTTGAGCATGGAGAAGAGGAGGCTGTGGGGTGACCTCAGTGCAGCCTGCAGGACCTGAAGGGAGCCTATAAAGAGGACTTGGGAGTCAAGTCTTGGAAAGGGGAGATGAGAGCAGGACGAGGGGAAATGGTTTGGAGTTGAGGGAGGGAAGGTTGAGGTTGGTTGTGAAGGGGAAGTTCTTTGCTATGGGAGTGGTGAGGTGCTGGCAGAGCTGCCCAGAGAGGCTGTGATGCCCCGTCCATGGCTGGAGGTGTTGGAGGCCAGGTTGGATGGGGCCCTGGGCAGCCTGGGCTGCTGTGAAATGGGGAGGTTGGTGGCCCTGTATGAGGCAGGAGGGTTGGAGCTTCGTGACCCTTGAGCTCCCTTCCAACTGGAACCATTCTGTGATTCTGTTGTGGTGTTTTTAGTTGAACACGGATGATTCTTTTCCACAGTGCTCAGTTGTTTCTTATTATTCATGCACTCTGTCAGTCCTTTGCTGCATCTCTTCATGGCATTCCATTGTCCATGGTATGCACTCAGTGCTCACTTGCCTTTTTATTTCCTCCCATGAGTTTCTCAGCCTTTGTTTCCATAATGTTGTGTTTTAGACTCTGCCTTCATTTTCCATGGGCTGGGGGTCACTGCAGCTGTGATGTAAACACCAGCATCAGAGGTAACTTTGGAATTCCTTCTTAGTCAACAGGGAGAAACAGATGCTGATTTTCTCCCAAAGCCCAGGTCTAAAATAGAGTTTTGCCATCGAAGTGCTCACCTCTCTCCCACCACAAAGGGAGGTGGGTGACTGATTGAGGTCAGTCATCTGTAGAATGAAAACCTGTGCTGCTGGTGGGGTCCATGCTGCTCAGATCTGCGTGTGCTGCTGACCCCTCTGCGTCTGCCCTCCTGCACTGAAGGTTAATGGGGGTTTGGTGCTGCGTTACACCCCCAGCTCCGCTCGGTGATTCCTCTTCCTCTTTCATAACTCACCGGTAGGTCTGAGGTGGAAAGCAGCAGCTTTAAACGATGGGGAGCCATCTAGAGAACAGTT